CGCTCGAGTAATTGTTCCAATCCTATGTCACTCATCGCAAGAAAAATCTCACCTGCGTCGCCAAATTTGTTACGTTTGCCTGTAACAATAGAGAATACCACTCAAATAACGGTACCAGATCCCTTGCTGACAGCTAGAACCGACCTTCCCAGGCTAATACCCAGAACAAGAACAGAGCTCGAGTAGAGAGCTTTATTCACGTGAGCCACGTGCTGAGAAGTCGTGAAATCGAAAGTTAATTGAAAGCTATCTCAAGTCAAGGTTGACCTTGACTTGATAAAGGCGTAACAAAACAAATGTTAATAAATTAATGTAAATAAAATCAGAAACCAATCTTGGGGAATCGTGGATCCCCAACAGGTTATGCGTTGTTCGCTTCACTGGTTGATGTTAAGATAGGTGACAGGTGCTCGATAACTGCTGTATTCTTTCTGCTGGGAATGCAAGAACTTGTACTTTTCTGACATGACGATTGGCGTCGAAATGAGATCAAGTCTATTTTCTGCGGCAAATCATCTTTTTTCAACTTTGTGTAAATAATTTGCAGCAGCTACGCGCACCAGCTATTTTATGCACTGATTTCTCACCGAGATTGTCTGATGCGTCAGCAATTTTTGTACACACTAACTCATCGCCTAGGAATCTTGTGCTGGTGATTCGTTTATAAGCTAATTTCTTCCACATTGTGAGTGCCTGAACTGGTCATGGAAGTAATCACGACAAAAAACCAACCATTTCAGGATTCGGCGAGGATTATTGTTCCTACCGTGAAGCTCTAATTTCAAGTTTATGTTACCTTGGCAAGATCCTGTGTGAACTCCGGTAATTTCACCATGAACTCAGATGCTGCTGCACAAATTACTAGTATTAAATGGCAATGCAACACATTTCGTAGTTCCTGTTTTCTTTCTACGATTCCTGACTGAATGTGGTCTATGGTTATGTTGACGGTTCGACCACATTCTGCTTTGAGTCGCCATAAAATGCAGGTCGGATTTCCTTGGTTAATTTACGCCCCTCTTTTCATCCTGTGCCTCAGGCTTTGCCTCCATTGACCGCCTTTCGTAATTGGAGTAATTCGAAACACCATGCCCTCAAGGTAACAATGTTCACTGACTGAATTTCCGTTTCTGTTGCATTTCTTTCGGTGTTCGAAAAGGTTGTCTAACAGTTCAGTTAAGTTAATTGCGATGAATTCTCCAATAGATTTCTCGGCACCAATGTGAAATATAACCAATGCCTTCAATGTTTTTGCTCCACAACACCGACAGTCCCGTTTGGTCCTTTTGGCTTCACGCTGAACAGTAATATTTTGATGCACGCACACACTACCACATGTTGCCTTCAAGCGCCTAAATCCACACTTTGCTTATGGGGATCTCCAGACGCACTAGAATGCATTTCGTAACCTAGATTGTGGCGATATTTAGCACTTCCCAATTCCCTAACCCCCTTCCTTTTTGGTTACTTATCTTCTTTTTTTCATGTTTGCAATTTTACAGATTTCTAAAAAGTACTAAGCAGATAGAATAACACAATGAAACCATTGTTGTGAATTGCATTGAATCATACTTGGTTAATCCGCGCGGACCCTCAACTCCAACCTCATTAGTGCCAACGATTATCTTAGATTATCCTTACGCCTAGGTCTCGATGTTAGCTCATCTATGACCCACTTAACTGAGGTATAAATACACTGGCGTGAAGGACATACACGACACAACGATGCCAACTTGATTGAGCTCTGAAGTAAACAGTTGTGTCCACGTCCTCTCGGGTCTTTATCTTCATCGTCTGTGGCAGGGCAGCGTAATCGGGCCAGAGTTAATTCACTGGCCGCGGCGCGGTTCAAGACCACATGCCGGGGCCCACAACAATTGATGACCCCGACGTGATGAAAGGTTCTCCGGATTCCACAACATCATAAACAGCTTAATGGATTTTGATAAAGCGTAATGACCAAAGATTTTGGCTTAAAGGTACGCATGCATAGTCGAATACTCCAACTGTTGCCGCTAAAAGCCTCATTTTCCACCTCGCCTAGGTTATAATTCAGAATTCTTCAGTAGCGAATACACAAGTTTTTGCATCACTCTATTTGGAAAAAACAGCCACTGAATAAAAAAAATGTCGTTGTTTAGTTATTTAACAAAGCATCACTTAACTCCCTACTTGTGTTTTCTCCATTACTAAATCGGCCGATTTCCTTTACTACTTTTTACATTCGTTCTGAAGTAAATTGCGCAAATGACGTGGGAGCCTGTTGCAACATGCAGCTACAAGCAATACCCTGATGCTAGAGAAAGGTTGGGTGGTGAGCGGGTGAAACACGACCATCAGGTTAAATTAGACCTAATTAATTTTGTAAGTACGTGTAAATTTTACACAAGTGGTCGCGGCATGGACAACGAGATCAGGGGAAAGTGGACCTAGGTGAATTGTTGGATGCACCCGCACTTATGGGGAGGAGCCAAATAAAGCAAAGTGCGAAGTCGAGCGTGAGCACTGTGACGGGTGTGCGCTAGCAGCAATTACAAAACAATCAAGCAGAATATCAGGAATGTTTTTATGTTGAGCAAACTAAGCTTGTCACACTCTCTACCCATCTGCAGACGTACGGATGATGTGGTTTAAGCGCGTAGCACAGGTTGTTGTATAGTACTTCTGTTGTCTGCCGTGTGTGAATCAGTAGATGTTATCAATTGGTGGTAGAATGTTTTCAGTAAAGTCGGTCTACCAGCGACATTATAGCTACAGCCATTCAACTAATTTCGGGCGTGAAATCAAACTTGATGTGCCGTTACTTCAACTCGAGCGCCATCGTGTCCTGACAGCGAACGGCTCTGCTCAAGTTATGATTATTTATCACATCTTGATTGGGATGGAGTCAAGGGCAATTAAGCATATTTAAGGAGAGAAAAGTCAAGTGCGTTGGAAGGGGTCAATTTCGGCAGCAAAGTTTTTATGCACATTGGAGTTCCTTTTACATATGACTTCTTAGGTCTTGTAACAATTCTGGGATAGATTATAGGGTGAAGTAGTTTCCAATAACATGCAATTGACAAGATCCGAAGCCTCTTCGGCTTTCCCCTTCTTAATTCCTTTATCCTGACACCTTGTTCCCTGAATATGTTGTCAAATTTGATGGAGAAATCACATTGACTGAATATGTCGCCAGTTCCATTCATGAAAGTTTCATTGTCAAAACTAGATGAAAATACTTGGAGAACTGTCTTTGTCTTCAACCCATCAGCAGGGCATTTATTCCCTCAGAATGAAAGATTTCATTTTCTGCGGGTTTGAATTAAGTCCCTCGTCTTGTCGAGCCATCTGAGGGTCAGAATTTTAATTTTTGTTTAAGAATCAATGCAACCTACTCTGTTCTGATCAATAATCGGCCACAGGGAGAAATCGCAGCCCGCTGTGAGTACAGCCACATCGACGGATCGATTGTTTCCGATGAAGTTCGGCTGAAGCAGGCCACTCCACCAGCCGCGCCAAAGGTGAGCGACTTGGCTGCTTGTGCAAAAAAAGCCACGTTACTTCTAAGAATGCGAAAATAGGGTGTGATTTACAGCAATTCCTGAGAGAAGCTGAGTCGCGATGTCATTATTCACAGTTAATTTTGCATTAATAGAATATTAACGAAGAAACATCCCAGTTCAAATAACGCTTCGCCCAAAACAGAATACACCTGTTGACGGCATTGCACATAATGACAAGAAAATTTCAAAATTCTCTTTTTGATATTTGTTTGGACACTAAGCTATCCGCAGCACAGAAGTTAGCACCTCGGCTTCTGTTGAGTATGCTGGAGGCAGACTTGCGAATCACCTCGAAATGCTGGCTGATTCCAGATCTACCAACGTATGCTTATTGAGTATCACCGTTAAACGTCAAATTTATTCATCCTACTCTCAATGCCAAACCGTCAATGTCAAATGTAAAAGCCTAAATCGGAGTTTACAGACTAATGGCTGTCACCTGGATAGTATTTCCCTTGTCTTCAAAACGAACTCTGCCTTCACCAATGCAACCCGACGTTTCAAAGGCCCTTTCGCTCACCTAGGTAACGGCTCTGTGTTCGGGCCCTGGCGCGGTGATTTTCGGCGTCACAAACCCCCTTGTCTCGCCGGAGAGCGAAGCGACCGACAAAATTGTCAATCAACGCGTTCTTTTCGCTCCCACAGCCGTGAGTCCATTTTTTTAACTCATTATTTTTTACAGAATGGTAAGAATGCAGGATAATTAGAATGCAAATAGTATCGAGGCCTTGCCGAGGATTGAAGGCATTTTTTGCACCCACCTAAAGACTGAAATTTCGGCAACGTTTCTAAGGCCGAACTTTTTTTTTTTATTATGTACGAACCCAAAATTTCGTATCTGGTACTGACTATGCAGTCGTGTCGCCCTCTCATCCTCTCCTATGGTCTTGGCCTCCGTTAATTTTAACGAGCAAAAGAACTGCAGTGCAGCTTACCAACAGCCACAATTATCGCGTGTCTTTTTTTTCTCAGGAGTTCCATTCTGCGTCTAACCTGGCAAGTAAGATCATCATTCTGGACAAAAATGGTCAGCCACAATCAGAGAAAACAGTCGACGGAAATGAAGAGGAAGTACAGGAGGCCCTGGAAAAGCAGAATCAGCAGATCGAGCACAGCAGGCACCACGAGCGCCCAGTTATGTCTACCATCCCCCTGACAAACCTCCTACCAGGGACTAATTACACGTTTGAGTGGTCCTCGGCCAACCAGTTCCACCTTACCACCACCATCCAGTTCGTAACGGCGACCGATCCCCTCGAAGCACCACGGAAACCAACTGTGAGTTGTATTTTGAGAACGAACATTCTTTCCTCAAAAAGGCTACCTGTAGAGACACCGTCCTAATCCTTTGGCTATGATCACATGATGCGAAAGGCACCGATTACATAAAAATGTTATTTACTGAAACGAGAGAATTAAAAGTTCAACGTTTTATAAAACCGTCTGCTTGAATCATCCGGAGCTTAGTAGAATAAGTGATGCTTTTAAAGATAGACTTAAATAGACTACTCTGTTTCCCACACACCTGTGGCCGATTACCCATCACTGAGCACTCAGACTGTTGTCGAAAACGATCACTTTCAAACTGACCTCTGCTGTTTGCCTCAGACACCTCCACGAACAGCAAATGCTCCTTTATTGTTGATAATTGGACTAAGAAAATAGGATTAATTTTTATCAAAAGACAGAATGCACTGGTTTTTAACTATGGTTGAAGCAAATCAACGTGATTTTGGTCATTCGTTTTCTAATTTATATAATTCACATGATGATTGACATTGTTGTCAGGGTTAGTGGTTTGGGTAATTTAATAGCCACGTAATAAATTAAAACTTCGTGTCATTAAGTGTGGTTCAGTCCTTATTCCAAGCCCTGTGTCACACGTCTTGGTTACTCATTGTAATCCGAGCGGAAAGAAATGCTAATTTAGGGGCCAGTCCAATGAAAGGTCTTGTAACTGGCCTGCTTGTCTCTAAAAAGTTAGTATTTGCTTATGAATTCGCATTGGTACTTCTTATGTGAGGCCCTAACGTATTTCCCCAATTTCATATTTCTGGAAAAAACAATGAAGCAGCTTTTATCTAGTCCATCCAAGGCCTCAACTCCTCTACTACTCATTGTGCATAATTTACCTTCTTTTAATCTCCCTTTTTAACTTCAGCACTTTGTTTTCCTCGTGCCCACCTCAAATCACTTGCGAATATCCGTTTTCCTTGACGACCCGTGCCCCTACGACAACGGTGGCCGTGCCGAGCTAAACAATATCCTGATTCGCTACCGCAAAGCCGCACAGCAATTGGGTCAGGGTTTTGGTGGAGGCAAAGCGTTGGTCGGCTACGGCAACTGGTCAGAGACACACGCGTGCTTCCAGAATCAGTTGAAGGATCCCCGACTTCTTGCCAACGACATTCAACAAAACCAACAAATCAAGTGGTCTGGTGACTCGGTAATCCAATGCGACGTTCCAGTCGATGACCCCGGTGCCGACCTCGAAGTGGCTGTGGCGACGATGAACAGGTATGGAGTATCACCATGGGTCCCGTCAATTTACCGAGCATCTGAAGCTCTAAATGCGGCCTACTTCTACACAACGGCAGCACATCAGTTACTTGCATCGGTTACCTCCGCTATTCCCATTTTGTTGTTAGTGCTTCACTACTAGCAGTCGATGTTCGTCCAACTTAGAGTTTCCAGTGCTCCTGCCCGTATCCTATAAGCGCCCGTGGCATTATTGTGTCTAGTGTGTATCATGTCGTGATCTTTCCAACCCAACTCTCTTTCCAAGAATCCATCACTCCCCATATTTTATTTTCCTGCAAGGTAAAAAATAATGCAACTTTAATATTTTACAATATTTCGAGTGATGAATTAAACAACAGCACTCTATTAATCGATTTAATTTATTTTTTGAGACGTTATACAAGTTAAATTGAAAATTCTTTGAGCAAGATCAAAACGTTTGCAGCACACATTCTACTCCCATTGCGCTCAATTCGTGGATGTATTGAAGGAGATATCCAAGCCTTTTGAAGTAATTAATAGTCCATGTAAGAAGTTAGTCGTGTTTGAAATCTGCCAAACGAGATCGTTTTCCTCGTGACGATACTTCATGTAATAAGTACACACTGATGCGTGGTTGTGAAATGGGTCATGCTCTATTCCCAAGGGCCGCACAAAATCAAGTCGAATTGGGTGACCAGCACGGGCCGATGTCCATGTCATGTGTATACAATGTCAGCAGTGAGGAAAATCACCTATGTACATTCACAACTTCCACTCTTAACACAGGAAAAAAATGAGCGTTGGGTATTCTGCGTGACGGCTGGAAAGAAAATTGAACTGAATGAAGACAAGACACCAAGTGTAAACTATGGGGAAAAACTCTGGCTGACGCTAAGATAGTGCTGCACGAGCCTCGATGTTTTCACCATGGGAAGTTGTTACGGTTCCCATGTAACTGGATCAGTTGCATTACTGGACTAATCAACTATCGTGACGTTCAGTCTGATTCCGCATGGATCACTTGACAATATTCATTACAATATTCAGAGGTGGGCGTCGTCATTATGGCTCATGTTCACATGTATCTAATGGCAGAAAAAGTTGCATGATCCTTCCCATCTTTCAATCTCTTTTTGTTCACAATTAAAATCAGATGATAATTTCAGTGAAAGGAATCATGCAGCTGGCATGTCTAAAGATGTTCCCAAATAGCCTCGAAGTGCAAATCCACAAGTATTTGCCACTCATATATACTATATATACATATATAGTTCTGACGTGCACATGACTGATTTAAATGGCTGACGCGAATTGTGGTACTTAAGTCACCAACTGGATTTGACATCGATCTTTACATCGCATCCCACTCAGTTGTAATTCTGACTGATTCACCCTCCTTCACACGTTAGTTATTCATTGTATCTTTGCAAAATTAACGTTTTACAAATTAATGCGTCTCGGAGCTTAACGTATAATACTTTACCTAGCTGTAAACGTATACACATACTTCCAAATCTCGCCCTTTTAACATCAACTGCGCCATTATACGTTTTAGTGTTCAGTTCGAACTACTGACTCGGTAATGGAACGATAAAATATAAATGTTGTCAACTTGAATACTCGATTGCAGTGATTTCTCAGAGCACATATATTAAAGGATAGTTATCACATGGTAGAGTCTGTTATAAATTATTTCAGCTTGAGATTTGAAACAAATATAGTCAGTTCAGATGTTTTGTTTAGACTAAGAAGGTCTAAATGAAAAAATCGGATACAGAAAATATGTGGTGTGAAAGTGTAAAAATCCCAACGATTGATTTACGGAGTGGGAAATAAGACTTGTTCATAATTCTTTTAGCCCAATGCGCTGATGATGTTATTTAATGTCAAGGGAATATTAAATTTAATAACTTTATTGAGATGTTGTCTTTATAATCAAGGGGATTTTCAAATTTATTTTTGATGTTATTTCCAACAGGCACAGAACAGCCTAGTCTCTGAGTATATTAGGAAAATAGTCAAAACATTTTAAATCGGTTTCGTCTTAGAAAGACGGTATCACAAAAAAGTGCAAATGATACCTTGAAATTAATATCAAATGCAGAAAATGGGATTGTTGATGTCTTTTTTAAATAATTAAGTAAAGGAATGGAAGTGAATTCTGTTTATCAAGTTGTGCCAGCGTAAGTTCTGATAATTGCAAGCGATTTCTAATATATTTTGGCAACAAAACTAATGTTTATAAAAAAAATTCATTGATTTTAGTGAAGCGACTCCAGAAAATAATTACAAAATAATGGCGGTATATATAGTCAGTAGTTGTACAAATTGGATTATTTTACTTTTATGAACTAGTCTTGGGTCAGTGTCAACTGTTACCTCCAAATTTTCTGATGTAGCCGCTAGTGATGAAATCATTGCAGAGAAATGATATAATACTTTTGCGACATCTGGAAATCGTGCTGGTGATATTTCATTTCAGTTCAGGTTTCAACTGTATTAATTAATGATGCTTTCAATAATTATTGTATGAATCAAAACAAAAAAGCTTACATATAGAATTGCAATAAAACAAAATGTGTCATTGTGAAGAATCGAAAGCGGAGCGTGTGTACTTGATGGAAACAATAAAACCAAATGATAATTTATACTATTTACTACATCTACAAATGGCCTTAAAAGGGAAACGTTAGATTAATGCTTTTACTTAGGAAAATAACGCAATGTCCATATGCTTGCATGAAATTACTGAAAAACAATTTTGTAGCTAAGAAAAACTGATGCCTTGCAATACATGTGTGCCATTTCACAATGGGCGATCACGTTGAGATTAGGCAGTAACCTCAAACGAGGTGTTATCTCAAAGCTAAAAAGTCACCAGAATTGCTGAGATGACCAACGTGACACTGATTTTATTGTTGCGGCCACTGGTGCGGTTTTGGGGAACCACACCAGGGCCGACGATGTACCCTGACAAGGCCCGACCGAAAGAAGAGTAGAAAATGCAGATAGCGCATAGCTCAATTAATTTATACATGCAGGATAACAAGTGCGTTTGTATGGCTTTGCAATGCATCGGATCTTGAACGAACACAGTTACGTGATGTGGATTAAGGTAAATCGATTGAAGCGTGTTCGCTCACGACCGCTAACTGTACTCGTTTGCTGCTCGCCATAGTGTCATGGGTTTTTATCAATAACAAAATATTTCTTCAAAATTTTTTGAATTTACTTTGTACATCTTCGGCAACATTAACTTCTTATGGTTAAAGAATCAATAGCAAATATCCCGATATGTCTTATATCCTATTCAAAAGTTGAAATGTTTGCATACAAAACATTCCAGGCATGCCTACTTTCAAAATTTTGTTATGCAAGAAAATTGATTCACTTTTAATACCTATCTGAGAAATTCACATATTCAGAAGTCAAGTAGGGCATTTGTCTATATGTAAAAATCATGAATTTGCCTTCCATCGTCTTCATCAAACTTAGATTTTCAATTGATGAGGACGTTGCTAAAGCAATTTGACATGTTATATTTTAATCTAGGAACGATGAGTAGTCTAAAAAGAAGTTAAAGGACGTGTAAATACGTTTGCTATTTAGGTTAATCTGTGACCAAATTAAACGCTCAAGAAAAAGGCATTTGCACCTTAGTTGATACATATCAGTGTAAAATATCTTAATAAGATACCAGATAATCATTTTTTGCTTATTCAGATTGCTGTCATAACGAATATAATTATAATTATAAAGGATTCATTCACAGTACGCATCTTCACCTAATCGCAAATACATAGAGAGATACGAAGATATGATTGAAATGTTAAATTGATTTAATAAAAACGTTTTTTGATTATCGTGACTATATTTAATTAAGGTGTACCTTAGCAGTATAGTCCATTCAATCTTGCTATACAAGTTTTCTGATTTTAATATCTTTATTAGCGAAGTAGAAAACATGAACTCAAGGGATTTTGTTTAGATTTAGAATTAGCTCTTTTCTGTTAAGCTAAAGCCAGTCATTTAGCGATTTTGTGCAATTTTTTTATTTACGGTTTCCAATATTATATTTAATTTATTTAGTATTAAACTCAACATTTGGAAAACAATTGAACTTGAACATGTTTTAATTAACTATTGTACATTTTATAGTAATCTTGCTTCCATTCCGCAATATTCCGATTTTTAGCCTGATAGCCCTACGCGATGAGTGCCGCGAAGGATGCCGTCGACCAAAATTTCGATTATATGTTTAAACTTCTAATTATCGGAAACTCATCAGTTGGAAAGACTTCTTTTTTGGTTCGATATGCAGAGGATAGCTTTACTTCTGCCTTCGTATCCACTGTCGGAATTGATTTCAAAGTTAAAACTGTTTTCCGACAAGACAAAAGGGTCAAATTACAAATATGGGTAATGATGCATTGTATCTTAGTGGGCTGTAGGATACAGCTGGTCAGGAACGCTATCGAACTATAACAACAGCCTATTATCGCGGTGCTCTTGGGTTCATTTTAATGTACGATATCACGAATGAGGATTCATTCAACGCCGTTCGTGACTGGTAAGTATGGAATAACTAATATTAACATAATTTTTAAATTTGTATTGATGCAAAGTAAAATTCACTTTTGGTTACTAATAATAGTTTAATCAACTTTTGGCATTGGTCAAAATAAAACGTGATTCTTTTGTGAACCAAAGCCAGTATTTATCTCTAAAAACCTATTTCCTCAATCATAAAACCTGATAACAATTTTCCTATTGTTACAACTTTAGTTCCATGAATCGGTTAATAGCCAATCCTTAAATTTTCCCTACTGTCTCCCTCTGTTATAATGTTGAGGCGTCAACCACACGTTATTCTGTCACGGGATGTTTTGCTGGTCTTTAGGATAACTTAAGTTTATTTGAGCTGGTTATATTTGCATGAAAGGGAATCGCCAACTACGATTGGCGCAGTTTTATCAAGATTTAGAACTCAGTGCCTTATTGTGGGGCTGTTGTTAGAAGAACGTCTTTTTGCCATACTCCGTACATGTAATTTTTCTCTTGGTCATGCTTAGTGTCTAGGTAACTTTAGTGGATTCATGTTTGTATCGATATTTTTGTGGAATCATAATGGCCATACACCTGAAACGTAGGAACTTTTGACTTATTCATAGGGTTACTCAAATAAAGACGTATTCATGGGATAATGCTCAAGTTGTTTTGGTCGGTAATAAATCGGATCTTGCTTCTGAGCGACAGATAACTACTGAACGGGGACGAGCTCTGGCAGACACGCTTGGTAAGTTATGTCGAATAGTTCTGTTAAAAACCATTTTTGTATTTAAGCACCATGTGTTTGGTATAAAATACAAGGGGCTTTGTAGTAGATTTTTGCTTTGTTAACTCTTAGTACACCCAAAATAGAATATTAAAGTAAATTATGGCAAGTTTTTGTTGACTTATATATTTTATCACTTATGAACTGAATGTGATGACAATTTCCTTTGTTACACAACTTTAAGGCGGAAGTCTGTTCCTTTATTCTTTTGAATACTCACAATATCTCAATCAAATTTTTATTAATGAACACCCATACTCTATTTCGTGGGAGTTTTGTACTGAATTTCTTACATAATAATCCCCAAGCTCCTTGCAAGTATCTGAGTGGTCGCCAAGCAATTAGTCAGTTCTGTCTGACAAATTTGTTCAAAAATAGACTGTTTTTCAAAGGAGAGCAAAAAATGTGGATGATATCGAAAATCATTGTTGTTTAAATTTTCACTCAGGGTTCATGTCGGGAATAGTATTATGATGAAAATAAACAAATGAATAACGTTTTCAAAGTTGTTTTGCTTGAGGACATATCATTCGTACATTTTTTGGTCAAGTGTAAGTTAGCAGACAATGAATTTGAGACTCACTGAATGTATATATTGAATTCACCGACGTTTATCTGTGTTTGGTTTTACATGGTTAATACAACGTGCGTGTATAGACTTTTGAAGTCTTGATAAAGCCATTTTAAGGTGCTGGTTGACTTCTTCTGGGTTAACGCTGTGCAGTGTCTTGCAAATTCCACTGTCTTATTCAAACTGCTCATTTTTAAAGACTGGGCTGCCACAAAAAACTTAGTCGCAGTTCACTCTCCTGGACCTTACCAAGCCCGTGTTGTGATGCTTGCCTGATTTAAATTAAACAGCGGAATCTGGTGCTTGAAGCTGTGCACACACGTTGGCTAGCCTTGCAGTGTTAAACCCGCATGAGTTATCACCAACACATTTTCTTTAGCCATTGGCACGCTGCTGATGTTGCCTGAAATGTCCTTATGTGCATTTCAGTAAGGTTTCTTCTCTAACTTTGCTGCGACAAATTGCGAAAGTAAGCAGAAGCAATGATTCTTGCTTTATCGCCTTCAAGAGCAAGCGTTGCATTATGCCACTTATCCTTAGGAGATCTTAAGTCACAGCTACCTCGTACTTTAAGCCATTGTGACATGGCAGAGCGTTCTTAACTTCGCTTACACGTTGTATTTGTGGCTTCTAGCATGGGTGCCAGTTTTATTTCCGCTCTACCCAAATTCACCAGTGCAATTTTGCGCACAAGCGAAAGTCGTGTTTATTTCTGTTTGTGAATGTAGGTCTCAACTTTTTCGAGACTTCTGCTAAAGACAATGTTAATGTGAAAGCCGTTTTTGATTTGATGGTGGATATTATCTTGCAAAAGATGGCCGAAAACGCGGACCAAGATGGCAAGATGACGGGGGCAGGTGCTCCTGGAGGTGAGTTATACCATTTTTTAAAGCCATATATTAACTCTTTCGTGACGGCTAAGGGCTTGGGAGGCAAATATTCGAGTTTTGTGTGCATTTAATGCTCCTGGCCAAAACTTGATACGTGAGCAATCAATTGCTGGTTTACCTTGCAACCCTTTTCTGGCATTCTCTTAATTAGCAATTTCATCAGATTTTAGTCTTTACATTACTGAAGAACAGAGGGTAAATCCTGTAAATTGCTACTAAAGAAATTGTTCATAACCTAGGCGCAGACTAATTATCACCTCAGACAGGTACATTGGTCAAGAAAATCTGACGTTATTTTGCTTAATCACTGCTTACTGCTTTTAAAGCCGTCACCACGGCACTCATATTTCAAGTTTCATCATTCAATGATGTTATTAATGTCATTCTTAGGCTAAGCAAATCCTTTAGAAGTAATTATGTCCATGAACGGTAAAATTAACGTTCCAGCTGAGAAAATAAGTGTCACTTGTTTTAACTTAATGGTCACATTATCGTTCAAGTTGGGCTTGTACAGTTACCCACTAGGTCCGTCAGTTCAAGAGTCGATTACTAGCTATTGCATAACCGAATTTTTCGTGTTCTATAAATATTCGGTAAATCAGATTTTTCTTTCGTACATGTGCAAACTGTCGCACGCTGTCTGGCCGCGCTGAAAAGCTGCTCATGCAGGTAAAACGCCGTGGTATTTTAATTTAGCTTCTTCGTATCATCTACCAAAACTATGAGCCAGAATTTCCAATCTTCTGAATTAAAAAGAAGTTGATCAGTAAATGTCAAACTATTGGTTTTGATTATTACAATAAAATCAACTGAATGCACGCAGTTTGGAGGTCTTAATGGTCTAAGCTACTGGTGTTTTGTGTGGCCATAACTCTAAACCTGACGTTTCAAGCAAGTCTTTTTATGTGCACTTTGCGTGAACACTATATTTTCACAAAATCATTTCATATAATTAATTAATTGATCATTCACCACAATTTAGCGCCCTCTTGACCCTCAAGTGAATCTGGAAATCATTAACCCGTGTTTAAAAAACGAATTTGCATTATCAAGCTTTCGTTTGTATTCTCGAATTTTTTCTTAAATTCAAGACGATGCCAGTATGTTTGCTTTTAATAACAGCCACAATCACGCCTCGCTTAAGGTATCTCAGTCTTCGAAGATTCGTCTCACTTGCAGTGACGTGTGGTGGTACTTTGCTTGTTCCAGTTGAGCGTAAGGCTAGAATACCAGTGTAATTGGACTAGACATGCTTTTAAACCATTACGATGTTTTAGTGAAGCAACGGTCTCTTACCAGTGTATGTTGCAGCACTTTCAAGAAATCAATCACTGGTGTGCCTTGGGTTTCACACGTTTTTCGTAAATGCCTATTTTAGAGGTGTGCCTAACTACCATCAACACAAAATCCATTTTACAATTCAAACGGAAAGATTGATTAAATCTTTTATAAGCCTCAAATGTCCGAACGTAACCTAACACCGTAACCTCGCAACAATGTATACACAAGGTTCTCTTCTCTGATAAAATGCACCGCAGATTGAGACATGTTTTGTGTCAAGCCCACAAAGTTATGAGCAACATGCCTGTCTCAGCTACCCACCAACTCGCACCCACCCGCATTAATACGCGATCAGCGATGAGTCACCAAGGCTTTACAACTTCTCACTGCTGTATCCACGTTAGTTTGAATCACCGTTTTATTCCTACAGTGCCTTGTGCCGGCAAGGTTGCGCTTTGCTTGCCAAACTGAGGCCAGCTTTGCAGATATTGTGACGTGTAAAATCCCACACAGTAAACACTAAATAACCCTCGAGTCGACGGTTTGTCACTTGACGTTTCCGTGTAGCGCCCATAACGTCATTTTGTTTCTGGTTAAACAAATTTTATGTAGAATCAATCGGATTTTTATTGGCTGTTTTAAGGTCGTTGTGACACTTGGTTAGACTTGACGAAATTATTTCCTAATTTGAATGGCTCAAAGGACAAACACCCTGCAATTCAATTAGAAAGTTAAAAAAAGTGTTTCCGAGAATGAGATAAACCATTTAAGCGGGCCCAGGGAGGAAAAAATATACACTATTATCGTCCTGTATTTTGATTTAATATTTAGTATTCGAACCATGACTGGTAGTCCTGGGAAAACCTAAGTCAAATTCGCTTTTGTTCGCTAAACCGCTCTTCTGCAAAAAAAACACTTGGCAGAGCAATCGCGATTGGTCTGAACTGTCGTGTTCAGACAAGTCAGTTGACTCCTGATGTTAGCTAGAAAAAGCCTTTGAAGCGACAGAAGACTGGGTTGTGCTATGAAGTGTATCAGGTGCCAGCGGATAACTTCTCTAATCTACGGAATCACTTCGTTAGGCACTTTTTGTCGTCCCAATACTTGCCTCAGTTTTTTTTGGAAAACGCCGACGTCAAAACTTAACAGGAACTTCAGTCAAACATCCTTTAGCTTCTGTGTCAGTTTACAGAAAAGCGGAATTAACTAGCTTGCATTAAGCAACTCAAATGCTTCCTTGTCTTTTAATGGCCGATAATCAGAATCCTTGATGAACATCGTGCACTTTCTCCGAGCTTGGCAGCATTTTTGACATTTTTCAGAAAGCTACCTCCCTTTTAGCTCGATAACATCGCTACCAGCATAGCGACTATCAGTATTTTTTGAGTCCGATTTGCACGCAACGTTCTTGCTAAGCCTAAATTAAAGCACCAACATGGATAGTTACTGAACCAACGCTGGTTTTGAGTAGGGGACGCGTTTGAGAGATTTTGATTGCGCTAACCAGGCCCATGTTATCTGTTAGCATGTTCTTTTGTCTGAATTAATTTTGTTCTCACAATGGTTGATAATCTTCTGCCAAAATTGCGAGTATTTTGTAAGCAAATCCACACCTACCAAGCCCCTAATGTATTAATTGCAGGTGAGCATGACGTAAACTCCCTGAATTTCGGTTTGTGAGAGCTTCTTGGTGGAGCGTCTGCTTGCTAGAACACTACTCTTGCGAACATTTACGCACCAGAGCAGCTGGCGAAGTTTGGGTTGTGCGAATTTCGTGATTTCTTCTGAACGCCTGCACCCACTCATGTGAAATTAAAAGTCGTTTGTCATTTTTTAACTGATGAATTCCACACATGTTTATCCACAAATCGATGATGTTGAGTAGTTCTAATCGCCTCAAGTACTCTGGCCCGATTGTGTTCACTCAAGTACTGGAACCAAATTTACGGTAAACGCTGAAGTATTTGCACTCGGCGCCTTATCCAGTCACTTCATTCACTTTATCGGCTTCAAGCAATTTCAACCTAACCGGTAAAGTTCTCCTAATCACATGTGCCTCCGAACAAAACCGATGACTAAATTTTCCTGCAATGATTTAAATCTTATGACAAGATAATATTAGCATTCTCTTTTCATTAAACCTGAGCATACATTTCGGAAAATTGAGAAGGCATTTTTTTTCTGGCATGCTCAGTGGGTTTTTGTAATTAATTTCCCAAGAGGCACAATGAAGTCGATTCATAGTTTGAGCTTACAATGCTTCAGTAGTGGGATTAAGTTCCTCTGGTGAAACTCCTCGTTTTGCTTACACTTTTTTCTCATCTAATGCACTTTCTGTGACTCTGTTGAACCTTCCTTTTCCTAATGGAAACAGAGCGCTGAAGTTGGCGAAAGGTTGACCTTGCAACTCTGTTCAATTCAGATCTAATACCCCGAAACCAGTGCTCTCATTTTTTGGGATTGGTCTGAACTGGGTGTCAGGAATCACAGTTCAGGCCTGGGATAGGGGCTTTGAAGTAAAATTCCACGCGTCTTTATCAAATGCGTAGTCGTAGCTGTGTCAAGGTGTAACTGCGAACACACTCTTTGGCTTCTGGGAAAATTAAATGCACACGCTTTCAACAAATCCCAGCCTTCCGATTCACCACTTTTCCGTGCATCTTAAATCAAACTTTTGAAGACCGTAGTTTACCGTGTAAGCACGAATCTTGTCTCCGATGAAGTCATTTTCGGTACTCGCCTCATGCTGATGAATCTCGTTGGTACAAATACAATCGCGGCGCCTGATATAATGCCCACGAATTGCACTCTCGGACCTTATAGCTCGCATTGTAAAAATGCTCACATTTAGCGAAAGTCAGGCAGGGGCAGTCATGTTTTCCCTCACTTTGGTTCGCAAAAAAGTGATGTAACTGATGTACATCTGTACGACAGTGGCCTTAAACCACTGGCACGGATGAGACTGCTCACCTGACTGAACTACTAATACACAATGAAATTCGGTGTTTCCGATTTACCACAAGTAGCAACCTTGTGTGTTTGGGTACCCCCCAAAAACCAACACAGAGGTGGTGGTTAGCAGTGACATGTGAAATAGCACGGTGGTGGAAAAAATACGCCGAAGTCTGCTACAGTTGACATATAACTTCTGAGTCCTTGAAACACCTGTTTTTGCATTGCAGTTAATATACACACGAACCCAATCTTATTTGTTTAGGTAGCCCTTACACACATCCAGAACTTTAGGGCATGCGTATCAAATATCGTTTCACGTCTGCATTATCTTAGTTAAATACTTTTCTTGTTCAGTCAGTTCCTGGGGCTTTCTTGGTACTTACTTTTCACTTTTGCAATATGAAAGAACCAAAATCTCGAAAAGTAGTAAACTCAAACCAGTGGTGGTCATCTGTTACTTGATTTCAAGATTTGTGGACAAACCCACTGTGACCTGATGCCTGCGTCTTTTCAGTTCATTTAACTTATTCATTGTGCATCTCCCCCATGCAATTTTGCCATATGAGTTCCGTTCTTAGCCAACTGTTGAGGTTCACGAAGACGTTAATGATCACCATATATTGCCTGACGTATGAAAACATCCGTTCCTGAACGTAAAGTTGACGATAGGGCATTGAAATAATTAATTGAGTTTCTTTCTTGTGAATACCGTTAATGTCAAGGAAGCTTCTAGGAGGAAGCGCCCTTTTCAACATTTCAGTTGGAGTTTTTTTTAAATTTCCTTTTTTGGTGCCACGATGCACTGATTTGAATTGACCTCACCAGTTCTCGTTCTCCAAGGACGTAAGCGTGCATTCATTCCCTTTTGTGCAAATACGAACTACATGCCGGCGTAAGCTCTCAGGTATATTGCATGTAACTCGGGTACTTGAGTGGTTTTATCAAGTGCCTCCAAGTTACCAATTACGCTTTGTTAAAACAGATGCTCTGCCTGGAAAGCTACGAATTATTTTTCCGAAGGTACATCAGCATGCTCTGCTTTACACATAATGTGCACGTTGTTGGCTGTAGTGGGAGAGCAAAAGGGACGTCTCTTCTGTTATCTAACTGTATTTCCTTGTGCCGCTTGAGAAGTGTGGATTGATGCCAAAGGGCTTTTCGCCATTAACCAACATGTCTCAAGTTCTCCTTCATAGCATCCATAAAAAACGGTTTCATGTCCTAGTTGATCCTACCAGTCTCTGTTTAATCACTTTTGCTGCAATTCATTTCACATGTATTTCTTACAGTAAGTCAGCATAAAAACACTCGGATGTCCTTTTCCTAAGCGCAATTCTTCTAAATTTCTCGATTGGACTAGAAGAACGAAGGTTTTGATTCATTATTTTACATTCTGCAAAAAACAGTTTCCATTTAAAAATTTCGATGGCAACAATT